GGGTTGTTTTAAAATAGGAGTGGTCATTTTGTTAGAAGATATGCTAAGAGAGATTTTTCTATCTTCTATTATTCTATTAGCTAATTCTGACAGTGGGAATTTTCCAGATTTCATATATTTTTTGTCTATTTATAAAAGTTTCATATGGGAAATTCTACATTGACTAGTTTTAGACTAAGTTTTGTGTATTAAATTATGAACCCAAAAATGATAAACTACATCTAAAGTCTTAAATTTTTATTGAACATTTATAACATTAATAATTTTTTTTTAAGAGACTAAATAATTTATTAAATTTATTAAAAAATACAATATACAATAAAATAAAATTTTTTATTTTTTATAAGTTTTATTTTATTTTGCTTTCTATTTATGATACAATWTTTTTGGATGGGTAAAAATGCTGGAAAAAATAATATAAAACGAGTTTATTATAATAAACAATGATTATAATTTATTAAAAAAACATTTGTTTAACCACAAGTTCTCTGAGGTGTGAAGTTTTTTCATCAACAATTAGTGTAACCAGAGAGTTCATATTTGGGTTTGGCGGTATCTGAAATAAAATAATATCAACCTAAAAAACACATACTTAACGATATCCTTGGTTTCAATAATTAATAAAATATTTTATTTATTTATATATTTAACTAAAATTGCTATTCCTTTATTCTTACTCTCAGAAGACAATATTAGAAATCATTGACTAAAGGAAAATCCTGTCAACCATTTTTTAAACTTAAAAGAACATTCTGATATCACAATATTTTGATGAAATAGTTATGCATGAAAAATCAATGAAACAGTTGAATGAATAAATCTTATTTAGAAATGTTATCAGTCTATGGTTTATTAGTAATCTACGTACTAGTGTACTACAGTACTAATAACTACATGACATTAAATAACATTATCACTATTTCAAGACCCTTTAAATTATATATAAGATCATATTGTCAATCAAAATACTAGAACATAAATTAATTTAATTTAATTATTTTTTAAACGATTTTAATTCAAAAACATGACAACAAACCCACATGAGTTGAGTTTGTCATACTAAAGTACAACATATCAATTAATAGGCGTTCAGCAGTTAACTTTTAATAATATAGCTGATTAATCTAGTTTTAAAACTTAAAGATAAGACCATTATCTGTTTTTTATGTTCATTTTTTTAAAGTGAAATACGAGTATGTAAAATATCACAATTTAAAAATATTCATGCATTGATGCATAGCTCTAAAATTAAAATATAAAAAAGCGGGTAAGTCGTGTATGTCACTCTGCTGTACAGTAGGTTACAAGTGGGTTACTATAATGGATGGAATTAAATTTGAATCCAATGATATTATATCATTGTATACAAAAAACGATTCTGAGCGAAGACGGTTTATCTGTCTAGGATATATTATAGATTATTAAAAATTTTCAAATCTTAGATTTAAAAAGAACATTTTTTATGA